AGGCCCGTATACCTGCAAACCTATTAGCAGATGTGAAATTATATCAGTAGTTCCATGGATCTTTCTCAAGAACTTGTATTTTGTGCTATCTGTTATGAGGAACACAAAAACAGTATAAATTTCATTTGTTCCCCTTAAGACACAATCTATTTGAGAATATGAGGTTAACATCCAAGAATAGATACTATAAGCTATGGTAATAGGAATATAACTTTATTTGCCCAGCCAAGCAGCTTAGGGAGTGATGGATGCAGGGCTTCTTGGTCTTAGAGCAAGTTGTGTATGGAGCTGGTCCTAAGCTGGCGTTGAAGGAGCAGTCGAATTGGGGCAGAAAGGAGGGAAGGGATTTGTATGCAGTGGTAAGGCTTTGGGTGTGTTTTTGTTCTATGTAGATTGATTCTACCAAAGTGGGATTCATTTGGGATGAATTGCATAACAACTAAAATTGGAGAGGATAGGTGACAAATGGCTTTAAATGACATAAATGAATACATTTTATTTTGTCATAGGAATTCAGATTTAGAACAGGATATTGTAAGATAGCAGGCTTTCCAGGTGGCTTAGTGGTAAAGAACCCACCTGCCAGTGCAGGAGACTTAAGAAAAGTGGGTTTGATCCTTGGGTTGGAAAGATCCCATGGAGGAGGGCATGGCAACCCACTCCAGAATTCTTCTTTGGGGAATCCCATGGACAGAGAAGCCTGGCCAGCTGCAGTCCATAGAATTGCACAAAGTCGGACTTGACTGAAGCAACTGAACACACATGCACATGTTATTGTGGAATCTGCTGAAACTTTTAGGGGAGATAAGCATAGTGATTGCATATTCTGTCTAATTTGGGAGTGGCAAGTTTTTATCAAGGTATACATTTAAACTGTGGACATTTTATAATATTCTATGTTGATTTACTGTGTTTGGGAAAATGGTGTAGGCTGCATCCACACATTTCCTTGAAGCCCCTGGATCTATTATTCAGGTGGATATCTTTTAACTATGTAGTCGCTCAAGAGCTTTGCTGATGTCTTGCTGGGCTTACTGGATAGTATGTGACCTGTTGCACATGAGGGACTCTTTGTGGGCGGGGATGTAACCCACAACCTACGCAGGCCAAGAGCCTTGCCATGGGCTGTCCGTGCAACTTAGACAAAACACAGAGAAGTTAATTGGCTGCATGTTGGATTTGTGGGCTCTAAAAGGCCAATTTGCTGGGATTAACAGAGGTCTGGCTTAATAAATGTGTCTGCTTGCCTAATAGATTTAGTAAATGAACCTTAAAATACTTGATTTAATTTAGCATTGTGCACTAGACATGGGTGGCCAGTGAAGAACTCAAGAATTCCGTGGAGTGTTCCAGCTTTGCAAGGGAGGTGAAATCAGCCATGATGCCATAATAGCTGATGAAAAACAAAAGCAATTAGAAAAACAAAATTAGCTTCTGCCATCTCTCTAGCGTGGACGCCTATGGTCTACTACCCTGGAGGCCAAGTGTGCTCATTTAACACAGTTTGCTGTGGCTCAGATCCCTGACTGGCTGGTGGAATGGCATGCTCCCTCCCACCTCAGCTGGCATTTCCTTGCTTGGTTCCTGGATCTGCTAGGAAGGCAGCCAGAGGAGAGAAAGTCAGATCTGCTGGAACGGGAGGAATCCGTCTCCTTTCAGGTTGCCCAGCCCAGTCACCTAAGTCTAAGACAAGAAGAGTGTGCAGAGGAAGAAGAGTGGGGGCCACGTAGACCCCTGAGTGCTGGAGATGATGTGGAAGTAGTGCAGATTCCTTGAAAAAAAAAAAGTGAAAGTCGCTCAGTCGTGTCTGACCCTTTGTGACCCCATGGACTATACAGTGCATGGAATACTCCAGGCCAGAATACTGGAGTGGGTAGCCAGATTCCTTGAAGAGACCACCATTAGGGGAGAAAGGATCCTGATGGTGAGAGGTAGGAAGAGATTAGAGAAAGCTGAGGGCAGTAACCAAAACAGAAGGATGATGCGATATAGTTATGGTCAGAGAGAGCAATTTATGGAAGCAAGAAAATATAAAAACACATCAGTTATTCCTTGGCTGTTTTGTTTCTCTCCCAACATTTTATTATTAAAAACTTCGAACGCAAATTATAATTGAAGTAATTTTATGTTGAGTATCCATATACCCACCACCTGTAGTCTGTCATTGGAGGCGGGCACGGCAACCCACTCTAGTATTCTTGCCTGGAGAATCCCCATGGACAGAGAAGCTTGGTGGACTTCAGTCCATAGGGTCGCAAAGAGTCGGACATGACTGAGCGACTGAGTACATATAGTCTATCATTAACATCTACTCTGCTTGTTTTATCATGTCTGTTTATCTGTCCATCCTTCTATCCAGCCATCAACTGATCTTAACTTTTTAAAATTCATTTCAGAGTAAATTTCAGACACCTATATGCTTTATCCTAAATGCTTCAGGCTACAAATCATTCGCTAGAGTTCTTTACTTATTTACACTTTTTCCCCCATGGAAGTATGAAATGTGTCAATCATGAAATGGACAGATCTGAAGTCTGTACTTCCTGAGTTCTGACAAATATACATACCTATAACCTAAACTCCTATCAAGATATATATTATTAGCATTGCTTCCAGAAGTTCTCCATACCCGTTCTCAGTAAATTCCCACCCCAAACCGCAGAACCAATCACTGTTTTTTCCCATCTTGAATTAGATCTATCTTTTCTATTAATAGAACTTCATGTTCATACCATATGAATTCTTTTATATAAGGTTTCTTTAATTTCTTATGGTCTTGGGACTCATCCACTGTTATGTTTATCAATATTTGTTTTTTTATTTTGTTGAATGCATGTACTTTGGCTTGTTCATTCATTTTCCTATTGATAAATTCTTCTAGGTTCGTAACAGTTTTTGGCCACTATGAATGTAATTGCTATGGGCATTTTCTTCTGTTTGTGGATACATGTTTTCTTTTATCTTGACTAAATTTCCCAGGCTTCAATTGCTGAGCCATAAATATAAAATAGCCTAATTACCTTGGAAAAATTATTACAATTTCTCATAAAAGTGAACTTGTTCCTACATAGTTGCACCATTGTACATCCCATCAAAAATGTATGAGAATTCTAGTTGCTCGACATCCTCAACAATATTTGTTATTTTTTTAAAGAAAATTTTGTCATTCTGTTGGATATACAGATGTGTCTCATTTTCCTTCCAAAGAATACGACTAAGGTAATGAAACAGTTGAAGGTATTCTGACAGTTAAGCCCTAATGGGTTGACTAGTAGGAACTAGAAAATTAGCTGAAAGCCATTCTGTGTGTTCTTATTGCTGAATAAGTCCTTACAACTTTGAGCTAAGGCCCACAGTGGGGACAGACTTTCCCCAAGGTCATTCATTAAAATAGTGACAGAGCCAGGGTTTCAAGTCTCTGTTCTTGTTACACCAATGATGGCAACTCAGTGGCACACAGTTTTCCTTTATTCCATGTCTGTGTCAAATATTGCCATGTTAAGCCCGACTTGACTTCTTAACACAGGACACTAAACAGCCACCATTGGTCTGTTGGAGTTGATGTCCATCACATAATCTACTTGTACCTCATTTGTGGTTTAATTAATGAGTTCACATCCTTGTGCATATCATCACAGAACCATAAGTATGAGGCAGTATGCTTGGACTCTGGGTTTACCCTTAGTTAATAAAAAAGAGTATAACTCTTTCCACACTCACTTCCTTTCACTTAGCAGAGAAGAAAGGGTGTCAGCAAACTTAGGGCAATGTCTAATCCTGTCTGACTCTAGCCATCAGCTTGGCCATAAAATAGAGAATAGAATTTTAAAGCCAAGAAATCAAATTATTGCTTCAGAGGCCCAGGTGAAAATTCTGAGCTAGAAAGGGATTTCAGTCTTGCAGAAGGGATGCTGTAGTCTGAATGCTTCATCTCTCAGCCTCTGCAGCATCTAGGTACACAGATGTGCTGTGTGAACACTGGCTGGTATCCACATTCTTAAAAGGCAAGTCTGTGCATCCTCACAACTGGTGACATCATTGTTCTATCCTATTGTCATCCTAACCCACAGAGAGGAGATGGGGTCTGCTCATCTGCACTTGTGACATCTATTCATGAGCTGCCTTAGAAAAGCCTCCTACTAGAGTGCCTTACCTTGCAAACACCAGATAGCTTGAGAGGACATGGGCCTCAGGATAACCACTGAATAATGACACTTTAATCTCAGAATCTGCATTCTCTTCTCTCTAATAAGCCCTTGCTTCTACTGAGATCCTAATTTCTAAGGGAAAGCATATGCTTTTTATCTTTCTCTCTGTCTTTGGCAAGTCCCTATCTCTTATGATCAGAGAAAGAAAACAGAAAAAGAAAAAAGATTAAAAAGTGAGCACAGATTTGTATGTTTATCTATTTCCCAACTTATTTAAATTGTTAAAAATGCCTTGCAATGGAAAACACAGGTATGATAAAAACAAAATGTCAATAATATGTATATACAACTTACATATGGATTCTGCTAGATGTAAGACAACATGCCAAAGGCAGGTAGGTGATTCAGAAATAAATAAAATATGGTCACCTCTCTAAAAAAATCTTACAGCCCGATGGAATACATGATAAAAATATAAATCACACAAAATGTTAAAGGAAAAGGGAAAGTGGTCACCTATTCCCAGAGTCACCAGGAATAGATTACAAAAGGTGCTTCTGTTTTGCCCCAGGAGAAGTAATAGAATGATGGGCAAAATCCATGGTGCCCAGTCTTATCTTCATCTCTTAGAATTAGCATTTTACAGTGCACTTCAAGTATATTAATATGCTTCCTGGATACTAGCTATATAACTTAGAAAGCTGTGCAATTTTTTTTTCTTCTTCTTCAAGTTAGGATCCCTTGGGGATATGCAAATGCGATGCAGATTGGTGACAGTCTGATTTACAGGAAAGGAGGGAATCTGATATTCCCATAAAGGACTGAGTAAGTGTTTCTGCTTCTCTCCTTTAGCCCCTCATCACCTTGGACAGCAGCATTTCCTTCACATTCCTAGCAGAGGGAACAAATACCATCACTGTCCAGGTGGCTGCTGGGAATGCCCTCATCCAGGACACAAAAGATATCGCTGTTCACGGTAGGCCCTGTGGTGCCCCTTTCTGCCCAGTGATCCCCTCCAGACACCCTAGTGTTATTCACTGACTGCTTTGGAAATTGCCCAGGCCATGGGAAAATTATGTAGGTCCACAAAAGGTATCTAAAGGTACTTCGTTCCTTGTCCTTGAGTAGATACTGAGATTGTTAGAGAAATGGCTACAGATAAGCATTGTTTGTCTTCCATGATATGTCTGCATCACAACCTGATGGTCTCATTAGACAGGGATAAATCATAAGTGGAAGAGATGCTGAGCCAAAAAGACTATCATCAAAGCATCTTGATCTGTTGAACCGCCAAGGTATCTGTAACACACACGTAGCATCCATTCTTTGTGAGGTGTGAACCAGTGATTTCAAAAGCTGGAGGAGTTACAGTACCTGCTCTTGAGGAACTCATAGCCTAGGTACTAAGATGAACTATACATAACCAATGTGTTTTGTTCGTTGTTGGAGACTCTAACATCTTTGGCTGCAAAGGATAAGAATAAGGCTAAGCATATAAGGATAAAACAAGGCAGGAGAGTGGTAAACAGAATCACCATCCTGTTCTCAACCCTGGAGGACCATTCTTAATTATTAAACGAATTTTCAATCAAACTGTGCTTCTACCACCATTCATTGAACCTCCCTCAGGCCCTAAAAACAGCCACTTATAGAAAAAAAAAAAAAGCCCAGAAGAAACCCTAGAAAACAGGGTTTTCTAGAAAGTTATACTTAGGTATGTGATCCTTTGACTCAGTTTATACCTTCCACTTCACCCCAGATGAGTGCCTTTTCCTAGAACTCTGCAAACTTGAGGTTCAGGCTCTCTTTGGGCACCTGGAAGACTTTAAACATTTTTATTGGAGTGCAACTGGGAGTTTGGGGTTGTAGATGTAAACTATTACACTTTGAAGGGATAGACAATAAGGTCCTACTGTATAGCATAGGGAACTATATCTAGTCTCCTAGGATAAACCCTAATGGAAAAGAATATGCAGAAGAATGTACCATATGTATAAAACTGGGTCACTTTGCTGGATAGCATAAATGAGCACAACATTGTAAATCAACCATACTTCAATTAAAAAATTAAAATACAGAGAAGTACACAGATCGTGTTTTGGCTTCATGAATTACCACAAAATGGACAGACCTGTGTATCTACCAATCAGATCAAGAAACCAAATGTTACCCACAGCCTAGATACAGCATTTTGACCTATTTTCTAACCCCCTGAGGCAGTTTCTAGCAGTATCGATGGAACAAAGGGAAACACAAGAAAAACCTCCATTCTAATCTAGCTCAGTTTATTAATGCTTTATTGTTGCCTCTGCATGATACTACCTGTAGCAGCAAAAGTCTCCTTTTCCTCAAGTTTCACAATTATCTTGCATTTTGGATGTTTATTTACAGGAAGAAATTCTTAAGATTTTAAAAACAAAAAAAAGTGGTAGGAGCATAAACCTACTTCCAGTAGGTGACTTCCAGTCACCAAATCCCACTTCATTTAGAAGCCAAGAGACAGGCTGAAAAGACAGAATTGAGATGAGGCCACATAGAAGCCCTTTTCCAGAAGCACAAAGGTGGTGGGGTCTCCCCACCTTATTACATCCTCTCTCAGCCTCACTCACACACGTTCTCTCCTTGCAGAATACTTCCAGTCCCAGCTCTTGTCTTTCTCTCCTAATCTGGATTACCACAATCCTGACATTCCAGAGTGGAGGCAAGATATTGCCAATGTGATCAAGCGGGCTCTGGTGAAAGTAAGTTAACTTTATCTTTGCTTAAATCTTCATGAATAAAGAACCAGGTGGTGTGGTCCTAGAAGCATATTCATGGATTCTGACCACAATTCTACAGTTAACTAAAGATTATTGCTCTGTAAAAAGAGAGAGAAGGATAGAGGAAATGAAGGATGGAAAAGAAAGATGGAGAGATTCAGAAGAGAGAGATAAAGACAGAGAATCAATCCCATGTTTGAAGATGGGAAATTGGCACCATCTTTCTCCTACATTTTTCAAAGACAGGAGATTGACCCCTTTAATAAAATGATTGATGGACCACTGCTTAAGTATATACTAATGTCATTCACTCGTTTGGCCCACCAAAGTTTAGAGAGTTTTTGTTTGTTTGTTGTTTTTGTTGCTGTTTTTTAAAAATTTATTTGTTTTTTAATTGAAGGATAATTGCTTTACAGACTTTGGTTGTTTTCTGTCAAACCTCAACGTGAGTCAGCCATAGGTACATATATATCCCCTCCCTTTTGTTGTTTTTTAACCAGTCAGACCTCAAGATTTCAATTGACCATATGTTGTAGTCAGAAGGTGACAAGCTAGGAAATAGAGCATGCCAGCAGAATCTAGGGTTATATTAGCACCAGGCCTAGCATGCTGTAGTCTGTGGGGTCACAAAGAGTCAGACATGACTTGGCAACTGAACAACAACAGCATATTTTCCTTAGAGCAAGTTGAAATGGTTTTGTTAACCATTTGCTCAGACCTAGGTGCTAGAATATAATGATGGATAAAACATGGTTGATTCAAATTTAAGTCTAGTGTGGAACTAGTTCTATGAGAGAGGCATGGCCAGCATTTCAAAGGAGCATGGAGAAAAGTGCAGTTCACTCTATCCAGAAAAGTTCAGGTTTGACACATATTTGTGATTCGTAAATACTTGTGAACTAGTAGAATAGTCTTTGGAGGGAATACTTGAACTCTGTTTTAAAGGATAAACGGTAGTTAACCGAGAGAGGATGATGTCTCTCAGGTACAATGAAAGCATGTGCAAAGCCATGGTCTATGGTAAGTACAGCATATTTGATAAATGACCGTTTATTTTTGCTAATCTATAAGTTATAAGGGCAGGTGTGACTGACGTTATGCTTGGATGGATCGATCATTTTGTGAAAGGTCTGAGCAGCTAAAAGGGGTTTGATATAGGCTCTGGGAAGTGTGAAATGTGTTCTTTCTTTATTATTTAGGTTAAAAAAATATTTTATTTATTTATTTATTTTGCTGACAAAGCAAGAGATTTTATTGGGAAGTGGTGCCTGGGTGGAGAGCAGAAGGGTAAGGGGACCCAGGAGAACTGCTCTGCCACGTGGCTGCAGTCTCAGGTTTTATCGTGATGGGATTAGTGGTTTTATATTTCAGACACCCATTCTTGTGATAATACAGAGGATGGTCTCTAGAGGTGGGAAGTGAATAGGGGAGGGGATGATTTCACAAGAGATGACCTGTTAAAAGACTACTGCACTTGTCTAAACCAGACATAAGAATAAAATCCTGAAAAGGAAAGATCCAAAGGCTAACTTAACCTTTTGAGCAATAGAACTGGTGACTAATAAAATGTACTGTGAATGAGAGGGAAGGAGAAGCTTTCTGATTATAGTAGGAAGGAGAGGATTTTCCTTGCCATTGATCAAGATGGCAACTCTGTAGGAGAAACATACTTGGGGAACAATGATGATTTGGTCTTTTATGAGTTTGGAGTATCTGAGAAACAACAGGGTAAAGATAACTAAGAGAGTTAAAGATATGGATTGGAGATCAAGTGAGGTTTCTATAGGAGGTAGTGATGCTGGAACTGAGGCCATGCAGGTCTTTAAGTCTGCCCCCAGCCACTCTGAGAAGGAGACGGGGCAGGGCAGAGATGGATACTGATGCCCTCCAAGGCAAAGGAGAAAGATCCTGGGAAGGACATGGAAAAGAAGCTGCCAGAGAGGAAGAAGAGATAAAAGATAATAATATAAGAGCATTCCTGTGAGTAGCTGTCTATAAGAACTATACCTCATATCTGTTTATAAAAACTTGTTTGAAGAGAGGGATGAAAATGAAATTGATCTTGTGTGCCTTTGACTATGAGACATCTAGGATTGTGCTGGATTTGTATGATTGGAGTTAGGTCCTTCCATGTTCCCTGAGTGATGCACCCTGCGACCACTCTTCCCTGGGACACAGGGTCACACCTGCCAAGACACTCTTGGGCTTATCCCATTTTCTCCATTGGGTGATTATCTGACCTCAGTCTGTTCTCTGAGAATTACTTTCCCTGCCTAGTTAGAATAAATCCATCTTGCCTCCCAGCAGGGAACTGAGGCATCTGGCAAAACTTCCTCGAGCTCCCTGGAGATGTCTCCCCACTTTGGGGGGCTTTCCAGGCTTCTGACTGCCACTCACAAGTTCTCTGCAGTTTGGCACTCTCTCTTTCCTTCATCACATCCCTGAGAGTTAACACCAGTCTCTAGTTCCGAATACAAATCAGAGCTGAGCTAATGGGAGACAGCCCCTCCACTTATATTCAGGCCAGTGTCTATTTATTCTTTCCTCACTGTCAGGCATCATTTGGAACAGTGAGGTGGCCATAGAGACCACCCCCGCCCCCAAATATCTGGGCAGACATACAATAAGAACCTATTAGAGATAAGACTGTAGCAGAGAGATATACCTTACTGTGGGCATGATCTAAAGTCCTTTCATGGAAATCTGAAGTGCTAGGAGCAAGAGGCTGACATGGAACAGGTCATTGAAGGTGAAATAGTCAGGGGAGACTTCTAGGAGATGAGTATTTCTGCCAAATCCAAAACTATATTTATATATGTGTATATCATATTTGAATTGACAAAAGGTTTGTTCTGGATAAAAGACTTTCAGGAGACACATAGGAAAGAATAGGACTACTCTTTACAGGGACGAATTCAGAGTTTTATTTTTCTGAGGATTTTACCTTCAGATGGAAGCTTACATTTAGTTTTTATCAAAAAGCAATATAATCCTTTTACTAAACCCTCAGGAATAAAAAAATTCATTTAAAATTTCAGCATCTTAACTCAACTTTTAGTGTCTTGTTTTATTTTTCATGTGTATACATTTTTATTTTTATAGAGTTGTAGCCAAGGAAATGTAAAGAACTAGATCAGAATACAGCTCTCATTAAGCATTTTTCCATGTTGTCTCACTGTGCTAATTATCATCTTTATGGTAGCATAACCATTATTTACTTAACTTTTTTGACTATTTAATATTCCCCATTTATTTGATATTATAAGTAATGTTATGAGTGTTTCTCCCTCCAAATGGCTTTTCCTATATTTTGGATTATTTCTTTAGGACAAACACTCCAAGTTACAGTTTCTGAATGCAGGGTCTGAATATGTTTATGACTTTACAGTAAGCCTTTTGAAAAATAAATTGGCAACGTGTATCATTTTTTAGTGCTGCTAACAACAGTTGAGGAAACCTCTTAATTGAAGCTGCACCAGTATTAGCTATTTTAACTTAATAAAAAATCCTGCTTTAGTAAGTGAAAACAAGAACAGCTTTGCTCTTTTTTTATTTGCATTTTCCCGTGTTTGTTTATAACTTCTTATTCTTCATTTGCAGCCAGTCTGTTCATGTTTTAGCTAGAAGCTCTAGTCTTCTTAGTGTAGAAAAATGGAAAATATGGGAGGAGTTTTTGCCAATGTTGCCAGCAAACAATATTTTGCAGATCATTCATAGTAGTATTTTAGTTTTAGTAGTATTTAGTAGTATTAATTTAGTATTTAGTAGTATTTTAGTTTCATGAAAGATGTATGTAAGAGCAGAGGAGGTAGAGAAACTAATTCTCTGCCTAGCAGTTCTAGGGAAAGAAAAGGAAAGCCTGAATGTATATTGGAAACTGTGCCTTAAATGCTGTATTAGAAATGCATAGCCAATATCCTTGTTATTGACTTGGGGAAGGCTGGATCCTCCAGGACCCCACTCTTCAGTCACAACGTCTTTACAGGTAACCAGTGTCCCGGAAGACCAGATCCTAGTTGCCGTGTTCCCTGGCCTCCCCACTTCTGCAGAGCTCTTCATCCTTCCCCCCAAGAACTTGACGGAGAGGAGGAAAGGCAATGAAGGGGACCTGGAACAAGTAAGTGAAAGAAAACTTGGCTAAGACACTCTCCTGCACCTCACCCTCTAAGGGAACACAAAGTATTTCTAACCCAAAAGGTAGATTGAACCCTTTCCTATTTGGCCACCAACCTGTCACTCATTGTCTGGTACCAGGGCTTTAGAGAACAATCAGCTTTACCCAGAATAAACACAAATGCACAAACACTGGTGCATTTAGCCATACAGGAAAGAAAAGCACTCCTGAAATCATTCATTCCAACAGTTGCCATTCTTGCAACTTGCTCATTTCTCCCAGCTAATGAGCTGTCCTGGTGAAAAGAGATGGGGTGGGGGATGAAGAGAAGAATTTGAGTTTCCTTCTTTATTTCTCAAAAATGTGCTTCCTGTCTTGAAAGATCCTGGTCAACAGAAGTTCTGCCTCTTGGAAGAAAATGAACTGCTTTTAAATGTGTGTCTTTGGAGAGAGATGGATTGCCTCATCTTGCTTTGACTAAGGAAGCAGCGTTCCCCAAAGGGATCATGATTTACTGTCTTTATCAAATGGCATATAGCTCTTATGATCTGCATACCAGCCTAGAAGTGAAGGCAGCAGTGGTCCCCATGTGTCCCTCTTTTACGCCCTGCTCTTGCTGGGGTCTTACTTGACTGGGCTTTGCTTTACCTTCCCATGCTTTCTTGTGATGAGTTAGAAATAGAAATAAGTGAGAAAGAAGCTGCTAAAAACCAGCATGAATCAAACACATTTGCTCCCTTTTGAATTAATCAATGTACAGACATCTTCCAAGTCCCTCTGCTACTCACCTAGTTGTCATCTCATCCCACGTTGGGCACAGGCCACCAAGGGCAGTGCAGATGCCATCATGGTCAGTTTCTCTGGAAACGAAGTGGATCCTTGCATTACAGGGCTGCATATTGAAATTGGCCAGATATAAATTCAGCTTCTCAATGCATACATCACTTTTACAAGACCTCTTTATTCTGAAATAGCAAGTGGCATGTGTGAACTATATTTGGAAGCTACAATATCCATCCATTTAGATAAATAGGTAATTACGGTGATGAATAGCAGCTGTGATATTAAGGCACGTACAGCGAGATAAGAGTTAGGGACAACAGCCTCAGCCTGCCTCAGCTTTCATGTGGGAATTACACAGTGATTAAATCGATGTTATGTGTTCTGAGACTTGCTGGGGAAAAGTAAAGAGGAAAAATTATCCCATAAAAAGGAGGCAGCTTCTGCTCTGATGGTTGCCTCCCATTGTCTCTAAAAGGGAAACAGCGGAGGAGTGGGCTGTGGTGTACATGCCTGCTTTAATCCTGGCAGGGGCCTCCATCCTGTGTGTGTTGCTTGTTCACATTAAAGAATGAATGGTGGGTTCACTTTCTTTCATTGGGACCCATAACATGTCTCTCTATGGAAAGTTATACAGGCTTGGATGAAAAGACACTGAACTGGGAGTTGAATGAAGCATCTAAGTCTGTTGTCAACTCAAATTCCCTAGGTGACTGTGGACACACCTCTGTCTCACTCTCCTCTCCAGTAATAGCAAATAATACCAACTCGTCCTTGGCTTCACAGGGCTCTAGGGGCTGGGAGAACCAAATGGATAAAAATGTTCCAATATCCTGTCCTCTCGTTGAATAGGTTATGTTTTGCCTGTTGACCCCAGTTTCTTTCTCCATGAGGAGGCAGCATCACATGACATTTCTTCTCATGCAGCTTCTGTCTCTTTTTTTCCTCCAGATTGTAGAGACTCTGTTTAATGCTCTAAACCAAAACCTGGTCCAGTTTGAGCTGAAGCCAGGGGTTCAAGTCATTGTGTATGTCACACAGCTGACCTTAGGTAAGTGCCTGAAGGCATATGGGGTGAGAAGACGGGTATGGTGATCTGATTTCCTGGAGATAAAAGGGAGGAGATAGTTACCAAACTCTTTCCAATAAATGCTCATAAATGGCTTTGTGTAGTGATGGCAAGGAAAGATTAATTACATCTTTCTTGAGACCTCCTGTTAGGGTGGCAAGAAAACATCTTTAGAAGTTGCTTTGCTATTGAATTCCTGGATGATCTTCAGGAAAACCTACAATTTCTTTGGGCCTTGACTTTATTATGTTTCTTATGTATAACAGTTTCTTATCTATAACGTAGTTCTCAGTCTCCCTTAATTTCTACAGTTATCTGATTCAATGAATCTTGATTGGGAGACCAGATCAAATAACTTTAAAACTCCCTTGTTTAAATCTAAGTGAAAAGAGGGACTAGCTCTGGGTGGTTGATTTATGAAAGAAATTCTACAAAGGCATGTCCCATTGGACACCCGCCTTTGGCTCTCTGGAAAAGCCTATTTGCTAACTGTTTCTAATTAATGAAAGCTTTTTAGATGTAGAGGTTCTACATGTGCCCATCCAGCCATGTTTTCCCAGAATAGAATAGAGGAAGAAATGGAAACACTCTATCACCTATGATCACACTGACAAGCACTGAGGTGTCTAAGAAAAGGAGCATTCACACCCTGTTCCTGCTCCCCTTAGCTGAGTACAATTTACAGCACGAACAGCAGGTCTCCCCAGGCAGAGCAAGGAGTTTACTTTCCCTTAGAAGCTGTGATCAGGATACCATCATCCTTGAAGCCAAGCTTCCTCTGCCCAGATAGCATGCAGAGCAATTGGAGGCTGTATATAAGGTTGGAGAGCCGCTGGCTTCATTCTCCAATGGATACTCCCCCAGCTGATAGCTTCAGAATGAGCAAGTCTGTTCTTTCCTCCTAGCGCCACTGGTGGACTCTAGTGCTGGGCACAGCAGCTCAGCCATGCTTATGCTCTTGTCAGTAGTGTTTGTCGGCCTGGCTGTGTTTCTGATCTACAAGTTTAAAAGGTATGTGCTGCCACCACTCAATTTTAGGCAATGGGGCTAGGTTCTTGGGGGCTGATTCTTCCTGTAAGTTACATTGCTGAACTCATCCCAAATATGTGATATTAACTTTCCCTGAAGCTGTATTTGGCATTGCAGAAGAACAGGAATGTTTTAGGATCAGAGAGTAAATGGACTTAATATGAACTCTCTCCAGTTTATAATTATGTTGAATTGGGAAAATGAAGTGGCTTAGATGGTAAAGAATCTGCCTGCAGTGGGGGAGATAGATCTAGATTTGACCCCTGGGTTGGAAAGATCCCTTGGAGAAGGGAATGGCAACCCACTTCAGTATTCTTGCCTGGAGAATTCCATGGACAGAGAAGACTTGCAAGCATCGTCCATGGGATCGCAAACAGTCGGACACGACTGAGTGACTAACACAACACTAGGAAAATGAGGGGTAGCCTATGGACAGTTTATTTTCGTCAAGAGAAGTTTGAGGGGTTTTCAGACCTCATTTAAGTTTCTATAGTAGGATCTCAAATATTTAGGAGATCTTTTTCTACAGCTTACCACTCATTTAGGGTGACTAAGTAGAGAAATGCGTGTGTGTGTGTGCTCAGCCATATGGGACTCTTTGCTACCCCAGACTCCTCTATCCATGGAATTTTTCAGGCAAGAATATTGGGAGTGGGTTGTATTTCCTCAGTTCAGTTCATTCAGTCACTCAGTTGCGTCCAACTCTTTGCAACCCCATGGAATGAAGCACGACAGGCCTCCCTGTCCATCCCCAACTCCTGGTTTACTCAAACTCATGTCCATTGAGTCAGTGATACCATCCCACCATCTCGTCCTCTGTCATCCCCTTCTCCTCCCACCCTCAATCTTTCCCAGCATCAGGGTCTTTTCAAATGAGTCAGCTCTTCTCATCAGGTGGCCAAAGTATTGGAGTTTCAGCTTCAACATCAGTCCTTCCAATGAACACCCAGGACTGATCTCCTTTAGGATGGACTGTTTGGATCTCCTTGCAGTCCAAGGGACTCTCAAGAGTCTTCTCCAACACCACAGTTCAAAAGCATCAAGTTTTTGGTGCTCAGCTTTCCCTATAGTCCAACTCTCACATCTGTACATGACTACTAGAAAAACAATAGCCTTGACTAGATGGACCCTTGTTGGCAAAGTAATGTATCTACTTTTTAATATGCTGTCTAGGTTGGTCATAACTTTTCTTCCAAGGAGCAAGTGTCTTTTAATTTCATGGCTACAGTCACCATCTGCAGTGATTTTGGAGCCCCCAAAAACAGTCTGTCACTGTTTCAACTGTTCCCCCATCTATTTGCCCTGAAGTGATGGAACTGGATGCCATGATCTTAGTTTTATGAATGTTGAGCTTTAAGCCAACTTTTTCACTGTCCTCTTTCCCTTTCATCAAAAGGCCCTTTAGTTCTTCTTCACTTTCTGCCATAAGGGTGGTGTCATCTGCATATCTCAGGTTATTGATATTTCTCCCGGCAATCTTGATTCCAGCTTGTGCTTCATCTAGTCCAACATTTCTCCTGATGTACTCTGCATATAAGTTAAATAAGCAGGGTGACAATATACAGTCTTGATGTATTCCTTTCCTGATTTGGAACCAGTCTGTTGTTCCATGTCCAGTTCTAACTGTTGCTTCCTGACCTGCATACAGATTTCTCGAGAGGCAGGTCAGGTGGTCTGGTATTCCCATCTCTTTCAGAATTTTCCACAGTTTATTGTGATCCACACAGTCAAGGCTTTGGTGTAGTCAATAAAGCAGAAATAGATGTTTTTCTGGAACTCTCTTGCTTTTCCCATGATCCAGCAGATGTTGGCAATTTGATCTCTGGTTCCTCTGCCTTTTCTAAATCGAGGTTGAACATCTGGACATTCACAGTTCATGTATTATTGAAGCCTGGCTTGGAGAATTTTGAGCATTACTTTACTAGCATGTGAGATGAGTACGATTGTAGGGTAGTCTGAACATTCTTTGGCATTGCCTTTCTTAGGGATTAGAGGAAAACTGACCTTTTCCAGTCCTGTGGCCACTGCTGAGTTTTCCAAATTTGCTGGCATATTGAGTGCAGCACTTTCACAGCATCATCTTTCAGGATGTGAAATAGCTCAACTGGAATTCCATCACCTCCACTAGCTTTGTTCATAGTGATGCTTTCTAAGGCCCACTTGACTTCGCATTCCAGGATGTCTGGCTCTAGGTGAGTGATCACACCATCATGGTTATCTGGGTCATGAAGATCTTTTTTTGTACAGTTTTTCTGTGTATTCTTGCCACCTCTTCTTAATATCTTCTGCTTCTGTTAGGTCCATACCATTTCTGTCCTTTATTGTGCCCATCTTTGCATGAAATGTTCCCTCGGTGTCTCTAGTTTTCTTGAAGAGATCTCTAGTCTTTCTCATTCTGTTTTTCTCTATTTCTTCACACTGATCACTGAGGAAGGCTTTCTTATCTCTCCTTGCTATTCTTTGGAACTCTGCATTCAGTGGGTATATCTTTCCTTTTCTCCTTTGCTTTTTGCTTCTCTTCTTCACAGCTATTTGTCAGGCCTCCTCAGACAGCCATTTTGCTTTTTTGCATTTCTTTTTCTTGGGGATGGTCTTGCTGCCTGTCTTCTGTACAATGTTACAAACCTCCGTCCATACTCCTGGGCATCTTCCTGGTCCAGGGATCGAACCCATGTTTCTTGCGTCTCCTGCATTGGTAGGTGGACTGTTTACCACTGCACCACTTCAGATGTTAAGTAGAGAAAATACAGCTGAAATCTGGTTACACACATACACATACATACTTGTATAGTAGTCATCCAGTGTTTCTGTATAAATTTACATGCAGAAGGATACATTTTTTAATCCTCCTTTCTATTTTTCCTGTTTCTAAAGGTAAATTGATCAGGAAAACCAAACCCCACATGTATTCAAAATTTATTTTTGAAGACCAGAGAAGGGGTGATATAATAGGATACTCATTAAAAACATGAAATTGAAATCAGTAATTCTGTACCATTATTTATATAATGTAACACATCTACCAAGCATATATTGGTTAAGAGCGTGAACTCAAAAATCAGACTCAGTTTTAACTTTTAGCACTTGCAGCCTTAGGCAATTGAATCTGCCTAACTAAGCCTTCATTTCCTCGTGTGTAAAATGGAAAAGCAATTATACTTTATAGGTTTGCTACATGTTTTCAAGGTAAAAATATCTATATCTCAGTTCAGTTCAGTTCAGTTCAGTCGCTCAGTTGTGTCTGACTCTTTGCGACCCCATGATTCGCAGCACACCAGGCCTCCCTGTCTATCACCAACTCCTGGAGTCTACCCAAACCCATGTCCATGTATATCTCGTACATAATAAAAAAAATCATGAAAGCTAAGCTATTACAAATAACAGCATGCCTCCGGAAGTCACCCCCTATATCACAAACGGGCACATAGCAGGCCCATATGTATCAGTGGCACAGAAAAGTGCTTCACAGGAAGTCCGTGTAAAGTAAAAGTATCAACATTTATTGTCAGTTGAATTTTGAAAGTATAGCTTTGGCATTTTTCTAAACTCCAAAGGTAATGCTTTTCGATTTTGGAAGAGATCCATGGTAAACATGTTTCCCTCTACCTCCTCTTCCCCAGCCCCTGTCAGCTCCCTGCTAGTGGATTTCTCAGGCTTAAAAAAAAAAAAAAGTTTTACTCAGTGTACGTCTAAGCACTAGCCAAAGAGCAGGAATCCTTCAACACTCTCCACTAGAAGGACAAATGGGGGTTACCTTCCTTCTCAGTATATCGACCAATACTTGAGTTCATGTCCTCTTGGATCATGATATGTCAACTCACCTTCCATGTTCCCTTTGAAGAATTCTTGGGACAATCCTTCCTATCCAATTAGCAAAGATTCAATATATTAATAGAAATGGCCTGTTCAGAGCAATACCCACTTATGGAGTGGGTTTAGTTACATGCAAAGCACATTTTTATTCATTCAAGGGTTTGGTTTTGGGGACGCCTGGTGGTTGCTGAGGCTTGAAGATCAGCTAAACCAAATCCATCACCTTCTTGCTCCTAGAACTCCATGTTTGCTGAGGACAGGGGTCAGTAGAAGTCCTGCAAAGAGGTATTTGTGTCAGGTGTCTCTAAATTAAGGCCAGAGGTATCCTGTGACTTAAGAAAACTTTCTCTTCTCTTGTAAACATTGCTAAACTCCCTAGACAGTCAACTTATTAATGTAGCTACCTCTTAATGTGCAGACTTTAATACTTGAATGCCAGGTAATGGCATCTCTGAATTATTCTACCTCTGTAGAATAATTAAATACCAGCCAACCCTTTCTTAAATACCAGCCAACCCTTTCTGTGTCCCTGACAGTGAATTAGGATAGAGGAAGCAAATATTAGTTAAACTGGATAAACAATTTGAGTCAGTTAAGAGTAATCAATTATCAGTTAACTTTTCTTTTCCAGTCACTTCTTCTGGAAGCCTTTCTCAGTGCCTAAGCCCGTGGCTGAGGTCCTGTTGGTCTCCCTGGATCTCCCTTCATTTCTTTGTTCTCTTGTCCCTCTCACTACCCACCTGGAACTCCAGTGATGGCTATATGGAGGTTACCTGGCCTGCCGGCAAGTAAGGTCGGGTTCTTATCCATGGTTCCCAGAATCTCCTTTGCTTTTTTCATTTCTGTCCAATAGAAGTTTCTGCAAAGATGAAAATTCTTCATGATCTCTGCTGCCCAATACAGTAGCCACCAGTATGGTGAAAAAACTGAATTTTCTATTTTATTTAACTTTAATTAATTTAAACTAAATAGCTACAGCTGACTAGCAAACACTTGGAAAGCATAGGCTAGGGGAAGTGTCATTCTTTTTCTGTTTCCAGATCACTCACAAGGCTCTGTTTTCAGACCCCAAACTTTCTCTCTGCCATCTCCGACATTAACTCATTAAGCCAGTAATTCATTCAGCAAACATTTATTGAGTGCCTGCTCTGTGCCAGGCATTGTCTATAATCTCAGCATCCCAAGTGGTCACTTAATAGAAGGGGAATAGAATTATTTAAAGGAATCTTGGAGATCATAGTAACTCTTTTCTCCTTCCTCTGTTAAGGGCCTATATTTGATCTTATTCTTGGATAGTGACTGCTATTTTCTGATATCTTAGGCAATATAATAAAAAATCATTTTGTGATGGCTTCTATTTTCTGAAAGTTCTGCCTAATAACACCTTCTTTCTAGACTGTAAATTTGTTTTTTTTTTCTTATTGTCTAAGAAAACTTTTGAGTTGTTGTATTTTCTAGTCTTTTTTCTCCAGTAAGGCTTTCTTGACAGTGTGAAGTCTACTTTGCTTCTTCTAAATTATTCTCACAAGCTTCTAACACTTAATCATAGTTGGAACAAACAAGTAAAAGCTGAAATTTATATAGATGACTTGGATTGATCCATCTTACTCCTCTTATTAAGAGCCTCTTATTAAAACTTATATGAATGTATAGCCCAGGATGTGCCTCTAAACTTCATTTCCCACCTTTCTTTTCTGCAAAGTGGGGTTTAGTCTTGACTTATAGTCTCAAAAGTCTTACAGGTGAATGTGTTAAAAAATGAATAGCAATTTGAAAAAAAAAAAAATGCTGACAATTGTGACCTAAAACTCATTCTCTTCCAACCATCTATTAAAAATATTGGGAAAAAGTGCATTTTCAGAGATGCAAATAAAGTGAACAATCTTTATAAGGGCAAGTATATCCAAATTCTTACAGGTATCAATCATTAAAAAGCAGGAAGCGGGAGACAGTGATCTCTGGCTGAAGCTCTGAAGCACCCAGACTTGTGTGATCAGGAGTGGTTTGACTGCCCCTGGCACCTAATAAATATTACAGCTGATCCCAACATTCATGAGTAATATGTACTTTTATGATTAGAAGAAATCGAAGTCATTAGGCTGCCTTTCTATTTAGATAAGAAGAAAGTGAGGGCTAGCATGAAATTTTAATTACTCACATTTAAAGAGCCTGTGGTTTGCTGCCTCACACATAATCTATTCATTTAAGGTTCCTGTAAATTATATTAAGCTAGTTTAAACCAGTAGGAGTCAAGGGACATCTCCCTTAATGTATGGAAAGCAGCCATTAAAAACATGAAAATTGGATGTCCTTGAAAGGTAGAAACTGTCTATGTTTCAAACATATTTTGAGGTCTTTCTAAATTAGCTACAGAAGACCTTATTAAATGCCCCACGTTCTACCTCGTTGTAGGGTTGAAGCAGGGAAGGGAATGTAGATGCTTAAAAATACAACTGGTTGGTACTAGGGCAACAGAGTGATTCTGCTTCACACTTTCACAGAATGTTCTGGATTGGGATGGGTGTCATATGTCTTGAGTTTTAATAACATCTATACTAGTAATCAACTTCATGAAATGTCTGAACTTCAGGCCAATTTCCCCACCATTTAATGAGGTAAGACAGGGCTCTTCTACCTGTAAAATTCTAAGATAAAAGTGTGGTCTTTTTGTTTGAGGACATAATAAATGAAAATAGAGTATTGGCTTTGAGGTCATTTATCTATTTATTAACAAATACTTACTGAATATAAACTACATACCAACCACTATGTTAAGTGTATAGCATTGAAAATGGAAAATGTTGACCTTGCAGACATGGGGCTTTAGTGGGCGAGAAAGACAGAAAACAAGTCCGCATACATGGCCTATTCCATCACCCTAAACCAACACCCTGTTCATTTCTTTCATAGACACTATCCTGTTATTACACATTTATGGTGGGAGAGTTTGCGTGGCCAGGAGAGGCCTCTTGGAGTGGCCTATAAGCCAAATTCTGAAGGGCAAGAAAGACACTATCACAAAAAGAGTAGAAGGTGTGTTACGGAGGGAATAGTTTATTCAAGGTCCCCAAGGTGGGGACGAGCCTGATGTATTAGGATCTTGAAACTCGAAGATTGGGTTTTAGACTAGTAGCATCAGCACCAGCTGGGAACTAGGCAGAAATGTAGAATTTCAGCCCATCCTGTTCAGACCTCTAGAGCAACAAATGCATTTTAATAGGAACCTGGTGAGGTATAAGCACATGGAAGTTTAAGGAGTGTGGAGTTAGAAGAAATCAAAGGAGGCTATAGAAGCTGGTGCACAGTGGGTCAGGAAATAGCAGAGATGAGTCAGGAGATGCGTACTGCTGTAAGATTTCAGTCTTAACCTGCCTGCTTCTTCAACCTCGAGCCTGTCTGCCTTGTTTACAAACCTACTACTTTGGTGTCTTTGAAGGAAGTTACTTCTCTTAATCGTTGCCTTATATAACATCACTGACTCAATGGACATGAGTTTGAGCAAACTCTGGGAGATAGAGAAGGACAGGGAACCCTGGCGTGCTGCAGTCCATAGGGGTGCAAAGAGTTGGACACAACTTAGTGACTGAACAGAGAACAGCAAGCCTTACCTTAGTCCTCTCCACAATCCTAAGAGAAAGCTATTGTTATTCCTGTTGAACAGATGAGGAAACTGACTATGGAAGTATTTAAGATACTTGGTCCATGAATGGTGTTCTGAAAATGGTAGCAGTGGCTATAAGTCTTTTATCTCCTCTCCTATTTATAAAGGAAACCGATGTGAGTTAATTAAACTGATGTAAACTTAGAAAAAGCTGTCTTTTCACTATGATGCCACCTCATAGTCTCAAAGTTCAGCTCCTTTATAAATGTAATAACTGGTAAATGTTTTAAGGGTTTTAATGCACAGCTGGTCAGTAGTATTGCCCTTCTCTTTACACTTGCTGGTTTTGCCCCAGAAGAAGGTGAATTCCTTGGGGGTTTCTGTGGTTTACAACTCCCCTGGGCATCTGGGCCCCTCCTTGTGTTTGTTGACCTCGTGACGACAGTATCTGGGTGGCCAGCCCCTTTCCCTGACTTTGATCCTGTTTTGCTTCCTCCTCCCCATTATCACCCAGGATTTCCAACTGCCTCAGTGTGGCGTGCCCTGTGATTGTAATCTGATTTTGCTGCTGCCCCCATGTAGGAAAATACCCTGGATTAACATATATGCTCAAGTCCAACATGACAAGGAGCAGGAGATGATTGGGTCAGTGAGCCAAAGTGAAAACGCCCCCAAAATCACACTCAGTGACTTCACCGAGCCCGAGGAACTGCTGGACAAAGAGCTGGACACCCGGGTCATAGGTATGTGTGCTGGAATCCCCAAACTCCTGATTCCTCTGTCCTCCGGACACTGAGTCAGCCAGCCCATGTGGCCTGTCTTTCAGGGAGGGCTAATCTGGAGGGTGGGGAAAACAAACAGTTGCCTCAGTGACATAAAACCTGACATAATCAGGTTTTAAAGTGTCTGCCTCCTCTGACCACATGAAATTGGCAGAACTTTATCTCTTAAAAGTCGATCAAGATCCAAAGTGCTGGAGTCTGAGTGGGAAAGGGCTGAGGCCAACTATCCATTACTATTGGACTTTCTTTTTTTTCTTTAAGGCAAAAACATTATGCATCCTAATAATCACACAAATAGGGACTCTGCCATCAGAGAACTCTGGATTCATTTTCTTGCTCTGTCAGTCTGCTAGCTCTGTGATCTCTCTGTGCCTCATATTCCTCATCTGTGAAATGGGAATAACATTACCTGCCTTGTAAGATTGTTGTGATCATAAAGTGGCATATGTCATTAGCACAGTGCTTGCCACATAATAAGTGTTCAATTCCTGTTGGCTAGTACTATTGTGATCAGAAGAGTAATGATGGCAAGATATAGATGCTACCTCATGTGCTGGTGTGGGGGAGGGCACACATTAAACATAGACTAGATAAGGCAGTGAACTGATAGGATAGACTACCCAGCTGCCCTGTTTGATAAAAACACATCAGGGTGGCTTGGTATTTAGCAATAAATAAAGCAAAGATCCATCCTCCTGTGCCATGCACATCCTTACCTTCTTTTGTCTTCTCTCCCCTGCAGGAGGCATCGCCACCATTGCAAACAGTGAAAGCACAAAGGAGATCCCCAACTGCACTAGCGTTTAATACCAACGAGCCACGTGGTCAGCCATCTTTCTGACTTTTTATTTTTGATGATTCCTATTACTCTTATTATGGAAAAATGAAAGTGTCTTTTTTACCTATTGTTTACCAAGGGCCCCATGAATAGCAGGCAGATGCTTAGCTTTGGGAGGCAAAGCATACTTAGCTGATTATGAGCCACGAAGAATAAATGGCTGTTTTTGTGCTAAGGGCAAAGGATGCGTCTTCCCATGGCTTTCTTACTTCATTCTGCCATTTATAGTGCAAGAAATCTTGTTTCCCTTGTGATCTGTCTTTTTATTTTTTAAGTTGGGTTGGTTTTCCACTAACCTCCCATCCTCCCCCTGCCCCGTACAACATCAAACCACCAGTATCCACCTCCTCCCTCCCAGCACACCCACCTAAAACATAAACCATTTCCCAGTTAGATCTGCAGGAGATAGGTTGGTGGGGAGTGAGTGTGGCTGCAGAAAGTGCACACCTGTCAGAAGAGACCCTGCCTCATGCACGTCCATTGCAAGGCTGCAGATGGCTTATTGTATATAATTACAATGTAAATAGCTTTTTATTTCCTAAGAAATAATTTAATGTTTAGTAAAAAAGAAAACTGAAAAAAGAAAGATGCGTCTGTTGGCTTATGCACTCACCTTCCGGAGCTGACCCACCCCCAGGCCTGCTTGATGCGTTGGGTTCTGGATGCTCCCCAGTTGTCTGTCGCACTTAACTCTTGCATCTCTGTGTCCCTGCCATCACTGGTTTCTATTTCTGTATATAAAGTAGGGAGGGGGAGTAATTCTTTGAAACAAACAACTGGTAAAGGGGGAACAAGAGTGACGTCACAGAACATATGAGTTTTTGGTCCCATCCGTGATGTGGAAGAAGTTGCAAGATGAAGTCCACTAGATACTTCAAACTGAAACCCAGATGGGCAAACAAGGCTTCCCCTCCAGAAGAATGAGGTTGAGAATAGTTATCCATCTGAGGCTTTCTCTAAAGAAGCCAGGCAATGGATCTAAAAAAAATGGCATTCTGTTTTCTGGTTGGATTCCATGGAATTGTATAATGCTTAGAGGGAATTCTCTGGCTATTCTTAACTCAGAAAAGTCTCTTGGGCACTAGGTTAAGCCCAGTGAGTGCCTCAGCCTGGGAGAAGTTAGAGGTGGGAAGGGAGCCAGCACTAGTGGACTCATGTGACCATGCAAACCCTGCAGGCCAAATAGGGGTCTAGCCTTTAATGATCTTAGTCGAAGTTGATTTTAGCAAAGCTGTGCTGCTTGCTTGTCAGATATACACAACTTCCTTAAAGTCAAATGTCTGCCTTCGGTTCTCTTAAGATAGTTCTTGCATCTGGGGCGAGTAACTTTCAAAGTTAGTGTTCTCTTCTCCCGCACCCCAGCCCCTTCACACATTTCACACGTCAGTTCTTTTTAGGAGGGTTGCTTGAAGCCATGCTGTAGCACTGTTTTATTTTGACTCAGCCTGAGCACACTTGTTTTAAAGAAAAGGTATACTGTATATATGTATGGGAGGAGAGGCTAAATTTTGTACCTGTCCATTTTTGTGGGGTATTGTTCACAACCTTCTCTGTGAGACACTGAGAGAATGTGACCTCGAGAAACTGGACTGGCTACAGCATAGAATTAGGACTATTTCTAAAGATCCTGCTTTTTCATTTCAAGGGTTAAATGGGGCAGACAATTGCAATACTTGTACTAAACACTGGAATACAAATGCATGAGTCATATCTATATATACAGTATATGTACATATACTGTTCTTGGTTTTATTGTTCCATTTGAATATTTCTACTGTAAAAAAAAAGACAGTGGTTTTGAAATTGTTGAAAATAAATGTATTTTTGTACATCAAAGCTATATACCTGGCTGAGAGTTCTCTCTTTGGGTAGTTATCTTGATCTTTTGTATCATTTAACTATTGCTGCAATAATTCTCCATGGGTAAAATAATCTGACAAGTATATAAGAACAGATATTGATGTTTTGCTCGTGAGTCTTCCGGTTGGCTGTGATTTGGCTGAGCTCACTTGGGGTTGACCAGGCTCTCCTGAATGCACCCTTCCGTTGGTTCAATTCTGCTTATCATTCTGAGACCAGCAGCCCCCCGGGGTATGTTATTTTCATGGTAGATCACAGAATTCAAGTGAGACCAGCCACATATTCTATCCTCTAGGGCCTTGGCTCAAAATGGCCCCTCTATTACTGTCACTGACCTTTTATTAATTAAAGAAAACCATACGGCCATGTTCAATATTAAGGGGCTAGGGAAATAGACACTGGTGCAAGGTATTACTGAATTACATGACAAAAGGTGTGGATATATAATTCCAATCTAGGGAGGGTAAGAAGAATTGAGAACAATAGTTTAATTTAGTCTACGTATTCATTTTCTGTGACTCCATGGGTAGCTTTCATTAGATGGCCCATTTGAATCAGGATCCAAGTTTCCTATCCCAAATATTTGTTGCCAGGGCTTTTGAGCAGAAGTCCTATAATCCCAAGGCCTTTGAGTCTGACACAAGCTCCCAGTAAGTGATAGAGGTGGGTCTCCACCTCAGATCTGAAAGATTTCAGCAAGAGAAATGAAAAGAAGAGAGGAAACCAACAAGATATATACCCTTTTTATTTTTTAATTTTTTAAAAAATTGGAGTATAGTTGCTTTACAATGTTGTACAACAGAATAAATTAGCTATGTATGTCTATATCTATATCTATTCCCTCCCTCTTGGCCCTCCTGCCCACCCATCTAGGTCACCACAGAACACAGGCATCTGTGTTCACTGCAGCAGTATTTATAACAGCCAGGACATAGAAGCAACCTAAATATCCATCAGCAGATGAATGGATAAAGAAGATGTGGTACATATATACAATGGTATATTACTCAGCCATAAAAAGAATGAGATTGGGTCATTTGTAGATATGTGGATGGATCTAGAGTCTGTTATACAGAATGAAGTAAGTCATATATCCCTTAATGAAAACCTTTTTTATTCTGATTGATGCATCAAACTAGCAACAAATCTCTTTCCCACACTGAGTGAGGAATTTGGAAGGCGGAATGGGTGGCTCTCCTGCACATTAGGTAGTAAGGAGTGAACCAAAACCTAGAATAAGGGCCATACTTAGATGTTTTAAGGTTTTAGTATTCAAAATAGGTGATAAATTTCCATGGATCCCAGAAACCCAAGAAACCAGAAGTTTTAGTCAACAGTTTCCCATATTTTGGATATAAGTGACTATCCTGGAATTGTATTTTCTGAACTCACTTGAAGATGTAGGATAAAACAAAGATGGTTTTCTTTTGCTCTGTGAATGCATTTTAAAATTATGTATTATTCTTGGTATAACTTTTCTTGAGTTATACACACCTTTAAAAAATTACAGATATTGAGACTGTCATTTATGGTACCTCTGAAGAAGTTGTGTTTTTGGGTCTAACTTCAGTGGTTCATAACATAAAGTGGCTCCCATCTTTAAGGGATTTTTAATGGTTTTGAACTTCTCCAATAATGTGGGGTGTCTTATAGTCCTATCCTAAGTCAAAGGAGAATTTCTTAAATGAACTGGCTTTTGCTTTCTATGAGATCTGAGTTCTTCCTATCTTAATTTTATGCCCTGGTTGATGAAATTGCCTCACCAGATTAAAGAGGATGAAAATGAAATACAGTGGTAAAACAGAATGAGTCAATTGGTTCATTTGAGCAAAGTCATGCTAAGAATATAGCCTCCATCCCCACCACCAGCATGGGCCTGTCAGATTGCTCGGTGGTAGACAGGGAAAGGCAGACAGCAGAGTATGATTGGCTTTGCAGCGAGTTCTATGCAGGGTCTCTCACTGGTGGTGAGGGTTCTCTGTGCATGGGAATTGTCTTCCCTAAGGCAGTTCTAGACCAGAGAAGGAAGCCTACAGAAGCCTTCTGGAGCCAGAGCCCCAGAATCAGCACCATAAGCTGATTCTCTGAGGATCCTCATGTGCACTGAAGTTTGAGAATCACTGCTCTGTCTGCCACTAAAAGAGCTTAGGGAGGATAAGAGTCACTGGGGTGAAAGCCACCTCCTCTAGCGGCTGTTACCATGATACAAGGCATCTTAACCTATAGGAGTGAGAACAGTTTCCAAGCTTGCTCATTTTCTCCTGGGCAGCAGCTGCAACTCTGGGCAAGTTCCCTGATTGAGTTACCTAAAACAAATCACACCGTGAGTCAGGGTGGTGATGGATTGTGCCCTGCAACAAATAGTAAGCCAGGAATTAGAACTATGACTGTCAGCGAGTCATTCTAGACCACAGTTTCTACATTCGTAAAAGGAAAAAACACCTTATGGTCTACCTCACTGGCTAGTTTTGATTTCCACAGATGTGAAAGTAAAAGTGAAGTCGCTCAGTCATGTCTGACTCTTTGCGACCCCATGGACTGTAGCCCACCAGGCTCCTCCGTCCATGGGATTCTCCAGGCAGGAATGCTGGAATGGGTTGTCGTTTCCTTCACACACTGCCAATTCTACAATTATCAAGAGACCGGTACTTAAGAGTGCTTAGGTGAACTCTCTTCTTCTGTAGAGGGATAAACCGAGACTCAGAGAGGAAAGTGACTTCTCTAAGGCTACACTACAGATGAGTGCAGAGCTGAAGATAGAATCCGTATCCTCCTTCTTGGAGGGCAGTATTATTTCCATCACATACCTCCTCAGCAAATGCAGAACTGATGCCCTTGTCGAGAGTCAGCAGAGTCTGATTGGGTATGCAGTATGGCCCCCATATTCATAATGTACAGTTTGCTTTAGAATCTGACTTCCCAGGTGGGCTCATCATTCAAGGGCTCATCTCCACTTGCCATCTCCCTGCTGACCCACCTGTCTAGCAGCCTATGGCCTGATGTCCTTGCTTCCCCCACTGGACTGAAGTAAGGCTGCTCAACAGACAGCGACCAGGCTCCAGCTTCACACACCCTGCTGCTTGCCTTTCAAAGCATTTGGCTTTGTTCA